CTATAAACTATTCAAAATTTACTCTAAACAAAAAAAGAGTTTGTTTTTGTTAAAACCATTTAAAGAGGACTTTTGGGCGGCTAAATTCAGCTAAGAAGTGGGGGGAAATGGGTAGTGGTGGAGGAATGGGTAGGGGTGGGGGAAGCATGTGGTACAGATGTGCGCCCCCCTCCCATCCTGAGAAAATTCCTGGATCCGCCACTGACTTATAGTTACACTATATATACTTAAAGATATTGGTAGATTGATAGGGAAATTGACATCTATGAATATTTAAACTTGAGTTAGTATTCGGGTCCCTTTCACTACACATGACGACTCTAGTCAAATAGATTTCGTCCCAAGTATCGGTACATGTAAAAATCGGAGCAGATATAGGCAAATGCTACGCTGAGTACTGAGTGTCAAGTATTTTAATCAAATCCTGACTTTTTTTGAGTACCAAAGAATTTAATTTCTACTTCAGGTGATGTCAAACGATTACGAATGTTACGATTGTTAAACGAAGCACTGATCGAATTCCCAATAGCGATTCAATTTGAGTAAAATACTTTGTAATCAGTACTCGGAGTACCAATCTGTATCCGAGGCTTGAGTTTTGTTCTAGGGTAGTAGGCACCGGACTACTACACCAAGTTTAAATCTTTGTAGATATTAATTACACTATCAATCAACCAAGATCTTTAAATAGATATGGCGGTACATGCCCTTAGGGTGGATATAATTCTCCAATTACTGTAGTTTTTTTTTAAATTCAAAAATGTTTTTATCAATTTTTGCAAATGAGAAATTATATTTTTATAGCTAAACTCAAGTGCACCTCCTCCGTGAGAGGCTTTTATCATAAAAAATGATATCAATAAAGCCACATTATTGTTATTAATATAGTGATGTTTTAGTTCTAGAACTATGAAATCTTTTTTTTCGCATCCCAAATAAAAAATGTATGTTGTGCCTTAGTCTTTTTTTTTTTTTGTGGGCTCCCTAATTATCTTTTGTCGATCCACCTAGCTGTCTTCAGCTGCAGTGCCGTGCAATATCTGTGGTCATCCCGTTGGAGTCGGTGTCCTAAATATTAAATTAGTCACATACTGTAGGCTATGAAAAAATGCGATAACCTGCAAGATATAAAATCTGTCATAATCGGTAGATCTAAGATCCAGTGGAGTAGGTCCGCTTTTGTCCTTTATAATGACGTATGCCCCACAATATGTCTCAACACGCTTTTCTGAGACTGCTGAAGCTTAGTTGTCGTTGGGACGATATATTTGTTGGTATCGGCGCACCATGAAGAATGGTTAGTCTTAGGACGCTTTTATATATTATTTATTTGAGACGGAGGAACAGATTTAGGGATGTCAATTGATGTTCAGTCTTTTTACCTCTGATTAGCCCTTACCTCGACATTTCTAGGAGGGGTTTGTTCTAAAGGCACAACCAAACCTTTTTTAACCAGAGTGTGGAGGTTAATATTCATTTCGTAGGCCCGCTACAAAATAAATTTGGATTCGAACCGGCGTCAATAGGCTCAAGAATATTGAACTTTACACTTTAACACTCCTTAAGACTTGGTGTCTGTAAAGTGTGAAACCCAAATACATTCTACTCTCTGCCAACCTCTTTGTTTGGCCCAGTACTCTGTAAACCTTAGGAGGAGGGCGCTTGTTCTTCTGGAATTGAAAAAAAATGATACAGTTAATCTTCTTGGGATTAACTGTAGTATTCAGTCCTATTTTCTTTTTGATTTATTTACAAACCTCCCCCCTCTTCCCATTAGCTCTTTTCGTTTAAGGAGCTGTATGGACTGAATATTGCAATATCAACGACGTATGTCGCCACTGAAACTTTACTCCAACAGTTTCAGCCATGTACACTCATAATAGTATTGGATATAGCACAGACCTTTGAGAGACAATGCAGGTAAGCGTAAAATTTTTGGATATTACCTCACTGACTGTTTCTCTGATTGAAAGCTACAGCAGAAATGACCGCAGTATTGTATGTAGTTACTTCGGAAAATCGTTGTCCTGTATAAAAGTCCTAGAGGGACTGAGTCGAACACATCGGTACAGTCTATTGAAGTTATAGCGGTCACATCTTTTTTGCAATATTATGGTTCACTTCCGTCCATAGTTTCGCCAGATGGTGATGGGTTGAAAGTTTTAGAATGTGATCTAGTTATAGACCTAGAACTTTGGTCATTCGCGGCCCATCTGATAGTTGCTCCGAAGTACTCCCAGTGGACCATGTACCTTATCTTCGTCCATATCCCAATATGTCTCTTCGCGCTTATATTTTATTGGAACTGGTATAGTCATTTCCTTATCTATCTGGTACAGCACAGGTCTTTGGTCCAGCGTAACGTTGTCAATGAAACAATTCGATTACCTTGTGAATAGAATGAATATTTGACTTAATCACGTTTGCCCTGTATCTATAAGTTTGAGAATTATGATGGATCATGGTAATATGGGATATTTTTAGTGAGTTATCAATATTGAATGTCCTTAACATTCTATGTTTGCGAGAGTTGTTTTTAGCCAATCTTTTAAATGAATTATATTGAAGATTACAAAAATTGCTTAGCTAAATTCGTTCAAATGATAAATATGAAATATTATATTTATATTGTATATTAATGTCGGTAGATTTCTCAAAATACAATTAAAACCAATAAATCACATAATTCGATGCATACTTCATCTCTCCCCCTCTCCTCTTTAGTCCTTCTCCCTCCTCTATTCTCTCTCCACTTTACAACACCCCCTCCACACACCAACCACAGTGTCCCGTTATAGGGCAAAAAGTATCTGATCACTTTAGAGATTCCACAGCAGAAGCATGGTACTTATGATGAATAGATAGGTTCTATTTTTGATTAAATAAATAAAATATTTATAATAGGATTGCATGACCTAAATATTTAGGCTCCAATCAAAAAATGAAATAGATGATTTGAAGTCCAACTGTTTTCAAGAAGTCATGGAGCGCCGTTACGCTCTGCATACCTGACAAAATACATATTTGTTATGTTAATACTTACGATTAATTCAATGCTTTCTTTTCAGGGCTCTCCAAAAGCCTTAAGCATGTCCATTTGAATTTGACCATTTCATTGGTGAAAATACAACCAATAGGCAACAAGTAATGGCGTCCTATCTCTTGTGCCACGTCATGCGAACATGAAGGGTTAAGTTCAACCAAAGATTCACGACTGGTAACAGTTATAGAAGTAAGTAATAATTATCTGTGTGTCCTATTATGCCAGGGAAATGTGAATTTTGTAAAATTTAGTGGTTTATTTGGTTGTATACTACCTTGAAACAGTTGTTTTTTTTATTTAACTCTTAATTGGAATGACAAGTAACAAATATTCACATTTAAATTAATTAATTTTTCTACTTTCACTTATTTCTCTTAGACTTCACCAAAATAGAATTGAATAAAAAAAAAAAAAAAAAGAAAAACAGCAATTAAAAATACGAAACAAGTAATACGTAGAAGTTGGGTAAAGGTACTATTTGGCTGGCGCGGTCGACGACAGCGACCGCTATTCCCCCATACCAACCGCTGTTGGCGTACCTATTTCGCTGAAACTGCTCACTGGGGTTGTTATAACCTGCCTAAAACCTTCGAACATTTCGCTGTATCTTCGAAGATAAAAAGATGGACATAATATAAGAATAAAAATGAACTTCCTATAATAATGAACATCTCTGACTACCGCTTTTTTATTTGAGTTGGAAAAAGAAGAGAAAATGTTGTTCATAAAGAGAAGGAATATCAGTATTTCGATGTGATGCTCATCATCAAAGTTCCTCTGATATTACATATTATTAGTTTGAAAAATAATAGTAATTAATACATAATTGGTTAGTAATAAATATCATATATTTGTAATTAAATCCCAGCAAGCGATGTTTTATAGTTTTATCAATAGTAATCAGTAAATCACCACTTTAATTAAAAAATACAAATCGTTTTTTTAATGGGTGGATTTTAGTATTTACCTGACGATAAAATTTGTTGGATTCTTTAATTTATTTAATATCGTTTGGATTTAGGTATATTTGTATTTCGCTGTAAAATATTGCTGGTGGAATAAATAAATAAATAATCTTGTTACTTCAACCTCAAAAAAAAATTTACTATTGCATTGTTTCAGTTTTAAACAATATTTGTTATAATTTTGCCAGACTTGAAAGAAACATAGGAAATAAAACTTATCAACGGGACTGTTATCATCAAAACAATGCTCTGATATGATAACATAACCTACAACCGCCGAACCGCCAACAGCTCCACTGCTTCAAGAGGAGTCAGATACGGCAGCTTAGATATGACGTCATACCTAAACTGCCGAGCAGCGCCAGCGAAATAGGTTCCTTTCTATTCCACTAAAGCAGTGGTCAACCGCGAGCAGTCGCGGTCGTGGACCGCGCCAGCGAAATAGTACCTTTACGCAACGCGCTTGCGCTGACACCGGGCTAGTCTTGCTGTCTGCTGACTTAATATTTATAATTGTTTTCCCTTCTTGATTATTATTATTATTTACATTGTAGATTTGGTATTAAATTGTAATAATTTAAATAAAATATGATAAGTTATTTCTAAAAAGCTTTCTGGCGTTTGCTACCTTAATAACTTTTTAATTTATCTATTATTTGAATGCTTCATTAGTGGCATATTTTCCAACAATCAGAGGCACCATTCATGAATAGTATATTAAAAATTTTTGCTAACTTTTACCATCATATTCTACTGGTACCTGAATCTTTCCCCCACCACGTAGCCATCGAGCGGCATTTTATTCTTGCCTTCTTGATAGTAAAATGATATAGTTTCTAGGCGACTGGTTATTGAATTCTTGGTAAGAAAGAAAGTAACACGAATTTAACATAAACTATTTCATTCTTGCAAAGTTATACGAAGAAAATAAACTTTATCTTTATTTTAAACCAGGACCCTCAACGTTAGCGCTACCTATGTGAATGGCGTTACACTGATGTAGTATACAATTATATTTGTTTTTTCCCCCGTATTTGTGCTTTTTTTTTTTTATTACAGTTAGCGTAAAATGTATGGTTTTCAAACCAAGGTTTTATTAAAAGATTAATGTAATTACTTGTAATTGTTTTATTCATTAAATTGTACTGACTTGTGTACATAGAGGTTAAGTTTAGAAGTCATATTTTAATGTTGGAAGGTATGTGCATTTTGAACTTGCTTAGCTTAACTTCACAATCGCAACTGACTTGTTACTATTTATATTTTTCATTCTATATACTATATTTAGACCTATTATTTACTTCCTTATAAGTTATTACATGAATCCATATATGAATTGTGATCACTGTTCTTCTTTTGATAACTGATACTTTGTTTATGAGATAAGTAGTGCTCAATTTGTTTATGACTGAATGCAATGCAACTTTTGATACAGCCTTAGTACCTAAATTATTTGAAGGGAATTTGCTACTTAACTCTCTATTCCGTGAGCTAATCATTCGTTTTGTTGATTATTTATTTTGTTCTTCCATACAAATTAAAATACATTTTGTGTTCTGCATTTGATTATCCAAGCTGACAATTTATTAACATGATTGCTGAACTGATTAAGTATAGGAAAGATTACTGTGTGGTTAATTTGAGTTACCCAAACTATGGAATATTTGTATGAACAAAACATGCTTTCATGACTGCATCTTACCATGAAATAATGATCATCTTGTTACAACTACGAATTATTTACAAATTATATTTATCGAGCTGCGAACACTTCGCCAATGACATCTTCATAAATTCAATTTTTATGAGTGCATTTAAGAGGAAATGATGCGCTGTTTCTTCGTCAATGCTTCCTCATATAATTCAGTCCTGTGAATTTATGCTTTTATTTTCAGCCTTAGGCTATCATTAGATTTCATTTAGGGTGTTTTCATTGTTACTGTAGTTTAATACTGGGTTCCATGGTAGTAAAGGTTTTACATTTTAGATTCATTTTTTCTATATACATATTTTTTAATAAATTGCTTGTATCACATAGCAATCCTTTGTTAAGAATATTGATTGTTGGTCTACTTTAAGGGATATTTATTTAAATTCTCGAAGGATTAGTTCCAACTGGAAATGATTGATTCCATGGTCTTTAGCTTAGATACTTATGTATCCCAGACGCTTTTTTTAATTACTGCTTTAAAATAGGTGTTTCAAAGAAAAGTGTAGATCTAATTAAGAAATTTTCTGTTTGCTCTGATATTACTGTGATGACCTTTAATATTAGATTAAAACATTGTTACTAAAGAATTTGGGTAAAGTGAGATAGTGTGTAACTATCTTGTTAAATTCAAATGATAAACTGGTATGAGCTGCATTTAATAAAACATGAACTCTAAACACCATTGTTTCAATAAAAGCTATAGAAAATTCCCTTAAGGTGGAGTATAACTTGCGAAATTAGTTTTGTCCTGTCTGTTAAGTTGAATTTTTAAGTTTCCGCTCTACGACTATGTGATTGTTTAACCACCATTTAGCCTGTTTTTTTTTGTTTTTTTCTGTAAGTGGACCCATTAGAAGGCAATATTTATAATACTTATTGATTTATATTTGCTTGTTGTCTGGAGTTTAAGCAGATATTCGCGGTGGTTCCGGTATACCATGATGGTACAATGTACATGTGGTGTGCAATTAATCCTATTAGCTACTTTGCCTGGACAATTGTGGACTGGCATATCGAAATAATTTTTTTTTACATTTCATGAAGTTGACTATTTCCCACATCTCACTTTCATTTCAAAGTTTTTTTTTTGTGAATCTAACAAGTTATGAATTTTTTTTAATGATTACACCAGTAAAATAATCCTCTGAAAAGGACCCATTTTAAACCTGGAGACAAAGTACTAAAGTGACTTATCAAACTCATAAAAGAACTGAAGTTTGTGAAATGTGGGATTTAGTGTAATATTTAGAGTAGAATGGCCTTATTTATATAAACCTTTTTATATATTTTCATTGAAAGTATATTTTATTTATGAGGGTTCCTCTGTGAATGGAATTAATACACTCTCAACAAATAATAATTTCTATAATTTAGAACTAGGTTTAGCTGAAGAGCCAAATGCTATTATCAGAATTATAATATCTGTGAATGTTTTCTGTTTGCTTTTAATTATAATTATGGTGTTGGTTTTTTGTAATAATAAATTGTCATACAAATTATAACACTGCCAACTATACAAAAATTTATGTAAGTTGGGCAAGAGACTAATTTTTTTGGTTAAAGAACGTCAATTTATATCATACTCCAATCTTAAAATGCCTTGGAAACATATATTTGATATATACTTGGTTATCGTTCAATTTGATGTAAAGAAACTAGCAACCTATCTCATTGTTAAAATTTAGAAGCTGGCATTGGAATTTATATTACAAAATATAATGGTCTCTATTCCAGAAATAATTTGTTTACATTTTTTGCAATTTCATTTATTATTATATTTTCTGAGTATAATTATTTTTCTCATAAAACTGAGATTTAAAAGAAATTATAACTTTTTTTTTTTTTTTTTTAGAATTGAGAAATGGAAGTGGATAGCAATACTTGTAAATCCAGTTCAAATCTTGAAGCTGGAAACAATTTAATTTCAGATACTTCACTTTCTGGTCATGAAGACCCTATTCATGTTGGAAATGATGAAACTGAAGAAAACCGTATCATTGATAAAAATCCAACAGACTATATGAATGGTTTGAATGAATGTGAAAGTCAATCATGTGATAATTTGAATAATAGTAACAGTCAGGAATCGATGAAACAATTTAGTGGTCCCAATGATAATGAGGTATCTAATGAATCTGAAATTGAGATTAATCAAAATGAGAGTAGTTCTTCTGGTCATAAAGACCCTTTGGGCAATGAAAATAGTTCATCTGAAAATGTTGAAGGAAGTGATGAGATTAAATCTAAGAACAATCCTGATAAAACAAATGAAGAAAAAAATATTGTTAGTGAGAATGAATGTAGCATGCCCGGAATTGATAAGTGTGGAGATGTTAGCATTTTGTTAGAAACCAATCCTATTGCATGTGAAACTGAGTCTAATAAAAATGTAAGTTCTGAGTCAGAAGTTGTAATTTTAGAAGATAGTGAGATGGAAGTAGACGAAGTCACTAACAACAGTTGTGACTCTAATGAAAAAAGTCAAAGTTCTGTGAAGGAAAAGGAAAGTAGTTTGAATAAGCATGATTCTTTACAAGATGATTTGAGTACAGATCAAAATAGTAATGATTCTGTAAGAGTTACTAATTTTGGCAGTACAACTGACAAAGAAGTTTCCAATGACCAAGTTAATGGAAATCTTGAAGAAAATGATGATGAAGAAAATTTTCCTAAAATACAATTAGTTACATCACTTGATGTTTTTATTGATGAGGAAGCTAATACTGCTTCTCCTGCAGGAACAAGCAATTCTCCTGTTAACCCACTTGAAACTGACCATGAAGATACCAATGACAATGAAGATTCAACTAATGCGGAGCAAGATAGTGGAGGCAAAAATATTGATTGCATTAATATTTCTGATGATACAAATGACAATACGAGTACATCTTTGGAATCTGAAAGCAGGAAAGATAGCTCTCCTAAGGTTTACAGCAAGAACAAAGCAAAGAGTGCAAAAGATCCTAGTGAACAAGAGGAAGTGATTACTGGTGATAAGACAGTATCACATGAGTATGTTACTAAAAATCTTGAGCTTATGGGAGATGGATCATATGCCTTGAATGATCATGGTTACTCAAAACCTAGTACCCCTCCTGCTGAAGGAAAGGAAATACCCAAAGCTAGGAAATCTCCCAAAACTTTGAAGGTATTGTTATTCTTTATTAGTATCTTAATATTTAATATATCACATTTTGTGTTATACATTTTTTTTATTTAGCAATCGCGAACTCTTAATTTTTGTTTTTACTATTAACTATAAACATTTTATATACTTATCTACTTGTTTTAACATTTCATTTTATTTACCTTCCCACTTGGATTGAAATAGGATTTGTTGTCCCTTTAAAACAAACCCCTCCCCTCCCCTGTATGCCCTAAACTGCAAGGTATGGGTCAATAAAAAAATAAATACCAATATTATTTATAATTAATTAAAACTAATGGAATAATGTCAATCACATGTAGAAAAACTTTTATATTTCATACTTAAAATAATAAATTTGTATCAAACTAAGTTCTTTAATCAAATTTGTTGTATTTTAGGTAATTTATCCTAAAAGAAAAGTAGTGGATGTGAATCAGTTAGATATTCATATAATGCCAGTGCCAGTTTTAAAAAATTGTCTGAATTGTGCAAAGGTAAGTTTATTTATTTTATCTCTTTGATAATTATCTATTATGTTTCTGGAAAGTGCTTGTTTCTTTTTGGTGATACAGGATTATTTTTAACAAATGTTTTACAATGTTTACAATTTTTTTTAACATAATTTTTTGTTTATTATTTTAAGATTATAGTGCCAGTAGTTGATTTTTTTTATTTTTAGCCAGTAGTAGAAGTCTGTAGTTAATTTTTTTAAAATTGTAAACAAAGTAATGTAAACATGAATAATTTGTAAAATAAAATTTGTTCTAAATGTAAACATGGATTACATGGTGCGGTCCATGAGTTTTTGGCCCGTGGAAGAAAGAAACGTGAGAGAAAAAGTAGAAGTCACTTGAGGCCATCTGGACATTGATTGGACTAGGATAGGTGTAAAGTTTCTTAGAAACCGCAGTCTTCCACAGTAGCCTTGGTAATTAATGCTGTATGGACACAGGCATTGTCGGGAAGAAGCCAAACACCTCTGCTTACCTAACTTCCCTTTTTTGCCCTAACTTACCCTTACAAGATATCATCTTGCAACCGGTGAAGTCGGGCTGGGTAATACTCGCCATTCATTATGGAGTTTTTTTCCTTTAAAATAAATGATCTGCGTTAATCTACAATCTCAAATAATAGTGGCCATCACGCTTTTTTTTTTTACTTTGTGACTTTTGACTTTAGGGTTGGTGCCTCTCCTGGTCTTCTCCTTTTCATAGATTTTGTTGAATGGGTTATAGTATATTATTGTTGTCTCATCTCAAGTTACGATTTATTCCAAAATAGTTTTGGGTCTGCATTATAATCACGAAAATTCATTGCAGTAGTAATCTCATTTCTCATTTTGAGTGACTCAAAGAATTTTTGGAATCTATCTTGCAGTAATCTTACTCATGTATTCTCGAAACTTATGGAGCTTATTACGTACTCTTCGTAATGGTGTTGTTTCTAATCTCTGAATTTTTCTTAACTTTTTATATAAAAAGCTATATTATTTTAAGTACTATGAAGTATATTTTTATTAATTTAATTTGTTTTTGCATTACACCATTCACTATATAAGGAATGTAGAAGTTGTAGTATAAAATTGAGTCTACAATAGTTGTCCGCAAATTTATTTTATCAAGCCTCCTATAAGAAAAGTTTCCACTATTTTAAGTTTTTTTTTAAATCTATTTATAATTGATAAACAAGGAAATAAAGCCAAGAAATAAAGGGGGGGAAGAGCCACTGTGGTCGAGGGAGATAAGGTGCCTGCAAAAATAGACTTATCGGAACCGAAAAATCGTAAGTTCAAATCCCATTCACTGGAACAAAAAATATATTTTTAATAATAAATATAAAAATTTAAAAAATAAAAATAGCAAGCGCTACACGATTACTTCAACCACTACGGCTCGGGTTTGATTCCCGCATGGGGACGGTAACGTCCCCATCCAGAGATTTACAGGGAGCTGAGTGACCCCTGCGTCTTATGCCATAGCTCCTGATCCTCCAGATTGATGGTTGGCCATAGGGCTAATAATCTTATCCTGCAAAAAACAACTTATTACGAAACCTATACTAAGCCTCGGATAATCTGACTCTCAATATGGTAGAGACCAATAAATAACTGCTTACAGAAACTGGTGAATCAATATCACATGATATGAAGGCATGGAGATCTAAGATGGGAGGGACATGTAGCTTGAAGCAATTCATCTGAAAGTCTCTCTTTAACAATAAATTCCTCAATGGAAGGCAAAAGACGACATGGAAGGCCAAACAGCAGATGGATAGGTAGAATCAACAAAGCTGCGTGCAGATAAATGGAAAGAAGTAGCCCAAGACAGGCAGAGATGGAGCAGGCTGGTTTAGGTGGCAAAACATCTATAATATGGTCTGTAATGCAAACATGAAACAAAAAAAACAAGGAAATAGAGGAAGGAGATGGTCCGGGGTGGCGGTCATAAATAGGCCTTAATAGTGGCAAAACTATTTTATTGAAAGCCAACGTTTCTACACGACTTTGCAGGTCTTCTTCAGGGAGATGTGTTCAGATAGAAGCTGAGTATAATTGGCACAATATAATAAATAATCATCATCGTAAATTCACATATCGATCCTGCTATAGCCGAATTGAGGGATCCAGAGGTCACTGAGCATATCTTGCTTGTCAGTACCGTCTATGAGGGACTAAGGGCCCATCTGCAGCGGGAAAAGGGTTGAAGTGAACGGTGACTGGAATAGAAGAAAATGCTGTGTGCACAATTAGAAAAAAATGAAGTTTTTTGGTTTGATTGAAGCAGTAAGTTGTAATGCAAACATATATTGCTAACCACAGCTGTTTAAAATCCCTATTGCCTTACAGGCAGGGCAGGGATTTGAATAAATATATATATTTTTTGAAATTGATAACTGTATTAGTTTAATAATACAAGTAAATTTGAATTGGTAATATGATATGTACAATGTGAAGAGAAACTACCCATTGGTAGTACTCCAATTATAGTTTTATATTAGAAGGTCCTGAGGGAATCTTATTCTCAGAGGATTGTCGGGAATCGATGAGGAAGCAAGGTTAGAGACAAGAAGGTTCTGATGGTTCAGAAGTTTATTATGGAAGGATAGGTATCTGGATTGGTATCTAAATCAGACACATAAGGAACATTAAGATCATTATGGATGATTTTATTGATAACAAAGTAAGGAGCATTGATGATTTTACGAAAGGATTTTGGATTATAAAGATTGACTACGAAAGGCATTCGATGGCTTAGTGGAGCCCTAAGCTCAACTCCGTAACTCCAAATAGGCCTAATTATAATCATTTATATGAGTCTTGTAATTAATTGTAAGTTTAGAGCGTTTGTCTAGTAAGTGCCGAAGTAGGCGGAATTGTCGAGCGGGTTTTTGTCATTTCAGACTGCTATAAGGATTCTGAGTTAAATTTTTGTCAAAGTGGAGTCCTAAAAAACGGATTTATTCAACAGGGATAAGTGGGGTACTATTAAAGGATACTGTAGGACAGAAAGTAATAGGTTTAGGATGAAGGATAAAGGTGATTTAGTGTGGTTTATTGGAATTTATTTTAATCCTTCAGTTTTATGTATATAAGGTTAGGTAACATATATTTTATACATGCATGAAATAAATGGGGGCGGGGTGGCCGAATAGGCTAAAGCGTGTGTAACAGCACCGCTAGTTGCCTGGCAACCGGATAACAGAGATTTGAGATGATATAAAAAGTACGAGTTCGCGTCCCGGTGCCGGAGGGGATTTTAAATTTCCCCGCCCTCACCCCCCGGCCCGGAAAAATCCCGTATAGAGGTAGGGAAGAGGAAAAAAAAAAAAAAAAAAAAAAAAAAAAACCATGCATGAAATAATTTCATATTTCACTTCTTTCACACTGGTAAGATGAAATAATTTTTTTAACAATGTCATTGCCTTGATTCGGTGGATTTTATATAGTTTTTCAAACTTAAAAATAATTTTAAAAGTTTACATTTAGTAGACATTTTTTATTTATTTTCCATGAAAACATTTGATTTCCATTACATTATATTAGTTTTTAGAAATTATTATTTATAATTTTTTCTACAATTTTCAGCTTTCCAACATTTATAGTAGGTATAATTGCAATGAAATGAAAAATAATTTTATTCTGGGACTGAAGTCCCCTTAGGATAATAGTAGAGTTTACAAAATATGTACAACTTCTGACATTTATTTCTAGAAATTCATTTGCGACCTAAATAAACATTTTCTTTTTTACTTTCACATACCTATATGTGTAATATATAGTAAGGGAAAGTATTGAGATTGTTAAAATTTTCGAATCTGAGTTTTCAATGGAAAAACATTATTTGAAATGTCCTGAGTCTAAATAACCAAGCCCCACAAAATGGTCTGTGTGTATGTATCTGGTAAGTCTAGCTCAAAAACAAGAAGTCGTACGAAACTGTTATTACATATTTAATATAGGTGGATGCCTTGGATATGAACACTAGCGGATCCAGCAGGGAGGTGCGGGGGCTCCCCCCCCCCTGGAGGCTGAAAAAAAATCCAAAAAAGTTCCTAAAAGCAGCTATTTAAAGAAAAGAGAAATATAGGAAAAATTCATCCTAATAAACGATGATTTTCCTAATGTAATAGAAAAAAATATATTATCGTGACCAGCACTAGGGAATTCTGGCAGGGGGCAACCCTCCATAAGATGGTGTAAAAAAATATCGTAAAAAATGACAAAAACACCTATTTAAAGAAATGTAGGAAAAATTCATCCTCCTACACGAATTTCCTTATGTAATATATATTTAAAAAAATTAGTATCGCGACCAGCACTAGCGAATTCTGCCACGTGCGCGTTTTACTCTGGATGCAAAAAGAAAAATTCCTAAAACGAAGATTAAAAAAACAATATCTGTAAAAATAAGCGTTCATTGAGTTTAGGTACTCATTCGACCCACAATTTGAGGTTCTTTAATTTCATAAAGAATACGTTTTTCGCTTTAATGCAGTTTAGTAGTAATACTTGAAAAAAAAAAAGATCAGATAAATCTGGAATTTTTGGCTGTAAAAAGTTTTGTCTTGGTTAGCTTTGTTAGCAATTTCGTTTTTAACATGTCTAAACCGTTATATAGGGTGTCTCATAAGTAGAGCGAAATATTTAAAGGAGTGATAGCAAAACTCAATAAAGACAAAAAAGTTTATATAATGAATGGTTCGATTTTTAGTAGGAAATTAAAGTTTTGTGATTTTTTATGTCACGTTTTTTGTTGAATAGGAAATGTTAACAAACATTTAACTATTTAATTTAAGTAATTAACGATAGCTTCTCTGTAAATTAGACAAAATTTACTTTAAATAAATATAGTTCGCTTTTATATAAATCATTTAAACAGGACTTTTGAGCTACAAAACTCAGCTAAGGAGTGGGAGGGAGATGAGTAGTGGTGGGAGAAGCACGTGGTAGAGGTGCGCCCCCTCTGAGAAAATTCCTGGATCCGCCATTGGATGT